CTTGTGTTATGGAAATCGGGAACAACGACGGTACCACAAATACCCAGGCCCTAGACAATAAAGACAAGTTAATTTTTCTACATTCACCGGGCCGAGGATTGATCCCATATTGAACCCGGGACCACAGAGACACCGTGAAAAATATTTTACAAACTTGCCTATGGTATATAAATATGTACGCATATACGCATAGGTACATATATCCAGGGATTAACTAAGCGTGACCTAGTATGCGTGACCTAGTATCTACTTATAAAATATCTTATTAGAATAGACTTAACATTTTGTACATAGATATTTTACATATATGTAAGTTACATAAGACAATGTGCTACAAGGTCATTTAGCACGTGGTATGCATTACTTGGAATTTATTATGCAAGTTACTTGTACTAAAAAGTCGACGGCGAATGTAGATACAAACAGTCTTTGTTTTATTAAAACTTTATCATTTTATTGAATATCATGATATATTTTTACTACAATGATATTTATCTATTTTTTTAAGAAAGTATCATTAGTTTATTTATTATTATTGATGCAAAAATCGAACGAACACTAAGAAAATAAAATGGTCTTGTTGTAGTTTTTAACCGACTTCAAAAAAAGTAGGAGGTTCTCAATTCGTCTGTATTTTTTGTATGTATGTTACGCGGTAACTCCGGCCGGTATTTGTGACCCGATTTTGATGATTCTTTTTTGTTCTAAAAAGGGTACCTCTGTAGTAGTCCCATTTTTATTTGAAGAAAATATTCCACCACTAAGGGTGGCAAACAGGGGGATGAATCCGGTTTAGCGCAGTTTTCGGTAACCGATTCAATAAAACTTGGCAAATAGATCTAATTCCTAAGGGGATGAACGTATTGAGTACATCATGTAATTTCTTATTTTACTATAAAATGCTATAAACTAGTTACAAGTTAATTTCAAAGTAATAGAAAACATCGAGTAAACATTTTAACTGATTAAATGTAAGTCAAGTAAGTTTGAGTAAATTGAATAATAAGTAAATGAAGAAAGAAATCCACATTAACTCGAGAAGAACAAAAGAGTATAAAAGATAAACTTGTTCAGATGACATCGAAAAAGTTTTGCGAAACCGACATAAGAAGTTGCAAGAAGATTGTGGATAAGATAGAAACAGCTTTATAATTTTACAGAACAAAAGAATACCACTATCACGTTCAAAAACTTTGCGATCTTATTACCACATCATAATGCGCACTGTAATGTACACTTTACAATACGCAAATTGTATTCTATGTAATTTCATATAGAATTAAATAACAAAATAATTATAATAATACTGCCTCGATCAATATAACGATTACCACGGTGATGGTCTGCCACGCAGAGGTCCCGAATTCGATTCCCGGGCTGGGAGAAATATTTGTATGGCCTACACTTATTTTTCTCTTGAGTTAGTGTGTTGTCTATATTTGTGTGTCAGGGTTTCACTAGTGCGGGGCTATGAGTATGTGCGTTTATTATTAATTTGTCAAAGTCATTTAAATTTTTAGTTTTTATTTTTCCTTTCCATTCATGTACATGACCGAAATTCCTGATAAAAGAAGTTTTCACATTGCAACATTATAAACTCTAAAACTACGCCACTTCAACATTTTTCAACGTCAAGTAAAATATTTGTTTAATACATATGCACGATAAATAAAGCCATTTTAAATAGCCCAATTATTCCACCCAGTCACAATTATTATCGATATACCAGTTGGCATTTAAGCTCGATCGACGATCTCGTTTCAAAGGACGTCACCTGCAGTCTTCACCTTAATGTCACTTCCTAGACGCGTGCTCCACACATCCGATGCGGACGGGAGCTATATGTGAGCATGATATTCGCGGTCGCACCCGCGGACCCTTCCAATACACGTCAAGGCCTTTACTGTCCGTATAAAACGAGTTCACCCGCCCGCAACGACACACTTTGTTACTTTCACGCGGGCAGTGAACATTTTGAACCCAAAATGTACAGGCTCGTAGTGTATGCCTTTGTGATCGCGGCCGTGTCGTGCCAGCAGCAAGAAGGAGCCAGACGCGTGGCCAAACAAGCGTACGCTGGCGACCCAAAGACAGCAGCCATTGTGCAGGAAGCCCGATATCTCAACGGAAATGGCGCTTTTGGAGCCGCATACCAACAGGAAGACGGCATTGACTTCAAAGAGGAAACCGACGCCGACGGCAACAGGAGAGGAACTTACTCGTACATTGACCCCACTGGACAAAGGAAGACCGTGAGTTACATCGCTGGAAAGAACGGATTCCAAGCTGTTGGTGATCATATTCCGTCCGCCCCTCAGCCTGTTGCGCCCACTCCTGGTTACACTCCAGATCCGCGGTACCAGGCCCCAGAGTACAAAGCCCAACAGTACACTGCACCTCAGCAGTTCACTCAGCCTGCTCCTGTGCGCAACTATGCCGGCAAGCCCAATGAAGATGACGGCCAATATCACCCTGAGTTGTACGAGCAGGAAAATTACGTCGCACCTCAACAACAGTACCAAGCGCAGCCTCAGTACCAGCAAGCTCAGCCGCAGTACCAGCAGCCTCAGCCGCAGTACCAGCCCCAGCCCCAATACCAGGCTAACAACATCTATCCAGGTGTTCAACAAGCACAATACAGTGGTTTACAAAACCAGCAGTACACGGCTCCTCAGCCGGTAGCACGCCAACCGCAACAATACTACGACCCCACGACGCCTCCACCCACCCGCTTCTTCCCCCCAGGCAAATTCAGCTTAAACCGACAACCCGATGGTTACACGTACTCCTTCCATAAAGTGTAAATCTAATTTATAAGGAGGGCCTCGGCGATTGTAATGGCCGAAACACGTAAAAAGCACGCATCAATTAGCAATTCGCCGAGTCACTGAGGGGCGGCCGCGCAGTGTGCACTCGGACGCTTCAAAAGCATTTCTTAATTGCTGTTTGCTGTGATAGTGTGTTAATGGACAGGTATACATATGTTAATCGTTTTTTTTGTTAAAGAGAAGGGTGAGCGGAGAGCGCGTCAGTTGAAAACTGAAACTTGTAAATAAATATAGAATTACCAAAAGTAGTAAGAAGTAAAAGATAAGAGTTTTATTGTTCGAATTTTTACGCATCATGCTTCCGTTTACCTTCAAAGGCCAAGCCTCTATAAAAGCCTATTTCCAATACACATTAGTAGTAATTAAATTAATCAACTTTATTCCCAACATACATTTCACGTCATTCAATGTAATTAACGTAATTTATAATCTATTATACGTCTACAATAGGAAATACACGTTTAATTACCAATGATATTTTTTACGTTTACAAATTAAAATTTAATAGCTTATAAACCAAATTATTTTTGCACTCGGTATCGATTTTACAAACATAACAGTACAGCTAAAAGCGTCGGTTCTGAATTTCTCCGGCAGTAGATTTAAATGAGGCATTGTAGACTTCCTGGTGCGCCGGCGCAACGCCACAGGCGTGGGCTGCGTCCGCATTCTGCGTTTACACAAGCATTTACTTGACTAGATCACCTTACTTGCTGCAAGGATATTTGAACCGGTCCCTACCACGCCTTGCTTTCCTTTCCATTTTATTATTAGGTCAGATACCGACACGTAGATCGCAGCTGATGTAAGAAGGCAATTTCCTTTACCTCACGAGAATATACATTATGCATACCTGCTATTTATTTATCTTTCATGTACATTGTGTATACGTGGATTTATTCTTGTAGAGGTCGTCTTCGTCATTACTAAATTTATTGACAGCATGCTACATATCGAGTTCTTAGGTTTTTGCAATAGTTACACATAGAAAACGAAACTATTTTCTATATAACTGTTTACTATTCTAAATTATCTAGATAGATAGGTTTATCTAATCGGATCTAAATTATACTATATGCGTATACACGGAAGTATGTGGTCTGTTTGCGTATATTTGTTTTTTTTTTCAAACAAACAAATATACGCGTTATAGATCCGTAAAATCAAATAATACAATACAATATATTTCGTTCAACTATTAAAAGTCGATACTATCTCAGCTCGAATTTAAATTATTCCCGTACTAATACGGTTCATTTTCCTTTCTTTTCTTTTCAAAATTTATTTTTTTAAAAACGAAATTAAAGCCATTTGAAAAACGTATATCGTATAGTATACGTGTTCTATTTATAAAAAATCATTGGTATATGTAAAGTACCTATTGAATTCAGCTGTTTTCTTGTAAAATTTCTATAGTGACAATTTTTAGGAATCGTATTTTCATACCATATAGTAATTAGTGTATATATTTTACTATATTTTTTTTCCCAAAGTGATTGATTCAATACTTTTACTGTTATGCGGAATCAATCAAAGCCATTTGAGGTTGTATATACTCTTAACAGGAACATACTGAAAACTTCAGATCAGAAATTTTCAACTAACATCGACGATGTTTATATTTAAGGTAGGAGAATGCTCCATTTCTTTTAAGCTAAACCTATGACGACATTAAGGTAAACCTATGACATCACAAATATAGATATTTTTTAACTACGGATTTCTATATGTAACTATTTTATGTTTCCACGACATAATTCTGTTTTAGAATTTAGTCACCATCTATGTATATGTGTTTGTAAAATTACTAAAAACACATGTAGTACGATACCCACAATTATAGCAACCACCACAATACGATATGTTGCAACAAAAGTGCACCAATTACGGTTACACTATTCGTGTAAACTTTTATGGCAGCGTTTACCAACACGGCAATAAGAAACATGCATAGAAGTAGACATCTAATAGTGACTATTGAGACTAACTAGCAGAGGACCGGGCGGAACGGCGCACATAGGGAGAGGCCTATGTACAGCAGTGCACTGTGACATTGATAACATTGTGACAATGTGACTGTGATGATGATGTTGAGGCCAACTAACAGATCAATATTAAACATAAGCAAATAGTACAACTTACCGCTTAATAAGATATATAGATTTCGTTATAAAAAGCAAACTCGTAAATGCCAGTTAATATTTTATAATGTAGAGTAGTAACAATAGAGCTCCTTGTAAAAGAGTTCGTCCATGGAAGTACTGACACCTTACCTATATCTGCCATCAAGCAGTAATGTCATCATTACTGTGTTCCAGTTTTGAAGGGTACGGGTGCTGGTGAAATTACAGGCACATGGGACCTGACAACCTATGTCTCAGGGTGAGGGGCGCAGTGGCAGTGCCCCTCAGATCTTTGCGATTTAAACCTCTGAGTGCCACTGCAACTGTTATGGACGGGCATGTAGCTTACCATCAGGCGCACGACTTGTTTGTCCAAAAAAAAATATTGAGAGATAAACGTATTTCATTACTACGCTAAACTAAAGAGCTTATATATAATAAGCTATAAAATGTACTCTTCAAATAGATGAAGCCAACAACAGTCCAACTAGAAAGTCCTGTATCTCATCATGTAACGCATTTCCTCTTAATAAAAGCAATGTCGTGCATTGCTTTTATCATTTGTAGAAGAAAAGTAATCAATATTTGAATGAATTCTTACAATCTTCATTTTACGAGATTAAATAACTGTTTTAGGAGAAGAAAAATTTGTTTGTATTTTTAAGTGTGTTTTTGTAATACTTGTACGGAACGAGTGAGACGTGCATCTGGTTGTAAGCGACACGTCTATCCAAGACAGTTGCAGTGCCACTCAGAACTTAAAATCGCAAGATCTGAGGGACACCACTACTGCGCCCGTCACCCTGTTTAAGTGACAGGCGCAGCAGCAGTCCCATATGCCTGTACTTTCACCAGCACCCTTACCCTTCAAAATCGGATTGCAGTAATGCTTACATTACTGCTTGATGGTAGAAATAGGTAAGATGGAAGTTCTTCTGCTATTAAAATAAGTGTACGTACATATGTGTATGAGTATGTTTCGTGATAGGAATTGTGATGTTTGTATTGTGGTGATGGTATGAATAACGGCATATTCCATGTTGACTTGACAACTTTTACAAAGTTCAAAATATAAGCTCAGATTGTTCGTAATTGTACAGGACTGTACATCAATAATATCATGCGTCCACTAACCATGAAATCACATAATTATTTACATTCACAATACAAACAACAAGTTAATAACTCATGATTGAAAAATAATTAAACTGTGCTGACCAGTACGCTTTAATAGAAGGTATTGGACTAATAAACAGCGTAGTAATAGGGTTTTGGTTTCACATTTGGATTATTATATAGGCAGGTTGTTTTAATAAATATGGACACGTAATAAAAATAAAGATCGGAAGTAATAATAACCCAGAACTAACTTGGAAATCTATTCTCTTTCGCTCACGATGCTAACAGTTGGGCCACCAAACCAATCTTACAGAGGGGAATTGAAACTATTTTTTGGATCTAAATTACGTTTATTGTTTTTTTTATAACAAACCAACCTTTTCGGGCTCTTTATAGGTCGCATGGTCAGCCACATATAGCTGTGACTTATTAGCCTTACTGACTTAAAAATAAAGTATTGTTACAAATGAATTTGTAATAAGGAACATATTATAAGGAACATGATCGTGATATTACTAAAATGTGAGTGTGTGCGTTATTATTACTATTAGTTAAAAAAAATATATAACCGAAATATTACTAAAAAACAACACCTATCCGCGTATATTTGTTTTTTCAGTCAGCCGTGACCTTTTGACCAGTAAAAAGTCCGAAGCGTTGGTTTGTTTTTTGAAAAAGCAAATACGCACGATTCTCGATACGGAAAAAAGTAGTTTCATTTCCAATGTATTGTTATACATCGGAAAATTTGAAAATTGTCGGTTGTTACCGAGAATATCTAAAAACTCTATGTTACACCAAGTTTAGTCAGTTGAAGTGAATATAAATATACCATCAATATATTTGTGTGCCTAATATGTATAACCAGACACAGTGAAACTTTACTTATTTTTAACCAACTTCAAAAAAAGGAAGAGGTTCTCAGTTCGACTATGTTTTGTGTGTGAATAACTCTGTTTTGTGAATTTGTGGACTGATTTTGATTATTCTTTTTTTTGGTTGGGAAGAGGATACCTCTGTAGTGGTCCTGTTTAAATTTAAATTTCAAGAAAATACTCAAACGCTCCGATGAATGACTTTTGAAGTCGGTTTCTTTAGTACTCTGTACTAAGTTTATAAACATATATTTAACCATCATAAAATGACGCTATTTATTTTCGGATTTAAATAGCGCATATTTTATTTTTTCAAACATAATAACGCTAAGAACCCTTGAAAAGACCCATGGTCACAGTTGACAGTTAGAAGAAAATTTTTTTTCATTTCCTACAACAATTGCAAAAACTTAATAACCTGATTGTGAATGAGTTATGAATTATGAAAAGCAATAAACTCGGGTGCACTAAAACTGAAAATAAATTAACAAGCGAGAACCCTGTTTGCACTTTTTCCCGAACGCCATTTACATCCGCCATTTTGAAATTCAAGTATTACTTTTTGTTATATAATGTACCGTATGACACTCCGCTTTAAGACACATGTAACGATAATGCACAGATCAAGCCCAGAATCTATCATGCCATGCCATTTACGCTACGAGATGTGCCAAAGAAGAAGGCACATTACATTTTTTTATGTTACCTAGTGAGAGGACGACCAAGTCGTGCCCCTGGTGGTAAGCGACACGCCTGTCTACATCAGTTTAACTACCTCCGTGGCCGAACGGTTACCATGCCGGACTGCCACGCAGAGGTCCCAGGTTCGATTCCCGGGCCGAGAGAAATATTTGTATGACCTACATTTATTTCTCTCGTGAGTTTGGGTGTAATTTGTGGTTGTCTATGTGTGTGTCCATGGCACCCGCGACACAGGGTTTCCCTAGTGCGGGGCTATGTTGAGTGTGTGCGTTATTATATTATATTATATTATAGTTGCAATGGCAGAGCTTTAAATCTCAAAAAT